CCCTAGCGAGGCCCGCGCGTCTTTCTCCAGAGGCTCGGGGCCTCAATGGGTGTCCCAGAGACTTCAGGACTGCGGTCTACTACCACCCTCCTCTGTTCTGGTGTCTCCGCATTCCAAAGGGTGCTACTACGCAGGGTTCCCTTCTCTTTGCTTTCCAAACTGGTCCCGAATTCGCTCCCACCCCATACGCTCCCCTACCAGAGGGCGCCCCTGGAGTTGGTGGAGAAGGTAGGGGCTCTAGATGTTATAGCGTGGGACGAGTTGAATTCAGGGTCCAAACTGAGCCACCTGAAAGGAGGTGGGTTCCAAAACTTCTAGAAAGGCCTGACTTGACAAAGGAACTGGTTCTTCTACACCTAGGCCTGAGGGCCAGCCTCTCCTCTCCAGAAAAACTCTGGCCTTCGCAGGCGCTCCCTGGCCTCCGCATTCCGACCACGGGTGAAGGGGGAGGTTGGGGCAGGAGCCGTGCTCAACGTCTCTGCTTCCCTCCCGGCCTGCCCAGGGGCCAAGACGTGAAAGAGTGTTCCCAAAAGAAGGGCTGCCCTCAAAGACCCGAGATGGTCTAGCTGAGGGGAGAGAGAGTTGCAGAGACAGCGCGCGCCTTCGCCCACATTCTCATGTCTCTTTCTTGCACAGCATCAGGAAAAGTTGCGCAGTTGCTCATCTCCGGGCCTCTCGCGGAAACTTCGAGGCTCTCTGGTTGGTGTTTTGGGGAAAGACCTGGAGGGGCCCCTGTGAGACTCTCCGTGGAGAGGAGCCAGGAAGATGCCAGAAGTTTTATGGGATCTGTAGACTGGAGATCACCGACCCTGGCGCCGGGCTGAGTGCCTGCTCCTGAGTTGTCCTGAAGGCGCATGTGGCGTGTGCGAGTCTGACTGCCAGGAGCCCGCCCACCACCAGCCCCAGAGCAGAAGCAGCCTAGGGGCCAAGAATTTTCGCACAAGGTCGGAAGTCTAGATTCAAACTCAGGATAAGAATCAAAAGCAATAACACGTTACATTTTCTATAAACGAAGATGCAGAATCAAAAGTAATTGTCCTTTCATGTGCCGGAAACTTCTATGATATACAAACATACCCACTTCCTCTCATCCTTACATATTTAAATCTGACGCATAATCCTGGGGAACGACACAGGGCAGGTTATGACGATTTTCGCAGCTCAGGAAATAGGAGCTAAGAAGCTTTATTTCCTCTTTCAACATTTTTTGAGACACTGGGAGACTTGAAGATAAACAAAACAGGGTCTTACCCAGAGGAGGGGAGTTAGAAAACACACAACTTTCCTTTGCCTGTGATGGGGTGGCCCCAGGGTGCAGCGGGAGCCCTCAAGAACTGTGTGCCACAGGGCTGAAAAGTACAAAGCCCACCTCAAAGCCCAGGATTTCTGACTTCTGTTCAAGCTCTCTTCACACGACCCCTCGGAGCCCTTGAAGATCGAGTAATGGTGTGGAAATTCACACACAAACCTTTATTACAACCCTCTCTGTCGTGATTGGATTCCACAGTAATGTCTGTCACAAAGTAACGTATTACTTGAGTGATTTATTGATAAAGTGTAAGCTCCGAGTGGGTAGGAAAGCATCTAGCATGTTCAATGTTGAATTTGCAGGCCTAGCCCATTGCCCGGAACAAAATCCTCAATTAGTGAAAATTTGTTACAAGGATCATGAATTGGGATTAAACCAGGAGCAAAATAACACCAGAAGGAGACGTGGTCTTCAGCGCCCTCAGAGAGGTGGGAAGGACCGTACCCGGAATTAGAAAAGGTGGCAAGTGGTGGGAAAACAGGCGGTGCTCCTTGTCCCAACCAAGTCTATCTTGTGCACGGCAGAATTAGTTTCTGTAGAGCTTCTGTTTCAGGTTTTCAAAGCAGTGACGTTGGTGCGGGAGAGGAGCTTTTCCCTTCGGCCATTCGGGTGGGGAGAAAATGTGGTGGCAACTCCACGCCTCTCCCGCGCGGCCTGGGCCTGCTCCTCCGCGGCAGTCAACTCCCGGCCGAGCCGAGGTCAGCGACGCCCAGTGGGGCAGCGGCCAGAGGCGGGCGTTACTGCCGCACCAGAGAAACCTCCTCGAGGGACTAGTGCTGGGCCCTGCCTTGCCCCGCGGCGTCCACGCGGCCCACCCTGCCCGAGCGAGTTCCGTGCGGGATTAAGGAAAATGTGGCGCGCAAACTCGGGCCCCGAGGGGTGGGCTTGGAGTTCCTAAGTATTCCCTGCAGCCATGCTCCCCTTGGAGAAAACACTGGTTTAATAGACAGTCCTTCTATTGAAGATGAATCCTGGAGGCGAGGGCAAGAAAGGACATTCTTCGATCAGTCCAAGTATGAGGGCCAGAAGAAAGGCCCTTGTTTGGACAGCCAAGGAGATTATATATATATGTATATGCCCTTTTCCTACAAGATGTCTTAGTCTTTGGAATTATACTGGGCAGTGCAGCGCGACTGGAAAGAGGGAGCCGTGTGTGTGTGTGTGTGTGTGTGTGTGTGTGTATGTGCGCGCGCGCGTGTGCGCGCTAGTGTGTATCAAGGGAGAGAGGTGGAAAAGGCGCCAGGAGCCCAGGCCGCAAGGCGCTTCAAAGGCCCCGGCGACATCCAGTCGGGGGCTGGTGCGCGCAGGAGAAGGTTGGACACAGTGAGGGTTGCAGGGGAAGAGGGTGGAGCAGGAGCCGTTGCCCTCCCCTCAAGAGCAAGCGCTCTCTGGCTGCTGCTCAGCGCGGAGACTCGCCGCCTGCTGCTTGTCTCCTGGTGCTCCTCCGGCACTTGGAGTCTGGGGATGGAGCTGAGGCTCGGCTCTTTCGGGGCTCTTCTGGCAGGGGGATGGGTAGCTGCGGGCCACGCGCGTCCGGTCCTGCTGCAGGGCTGGAAAGCGGCCGCGGAACGAAGGTCCAAGTAGCAGTGGTGAAGGACAGTGGAAGATTGACCCAACTCTTTCCGTTCAGATCTGGAGCCCTAGATCGGGGGAGGGAGGATATTAATGATAACAGCAACTATGGAAATCTTGAGTGCTGGCACTGACTTGAACATATCAAAGCACTTTCACGTGCCTGATCTCATTTGAATGTCACAAAAACCTTGTGAAGAATTATCTCTATTTACAAATGACGTTACGACTGGGAGAGATGTAAAATGTTCGTTCCTCACACTTACTAACAAATATGAAATAATGAAGAGGAAGAGGGAAGACGGATGACTAGGAAACCCACCCTGCCTTAGAATTAAGACTCCATTCAAGACACAGGCCGGACGGTGTTCAGTTGTTCAGTTGAGTGAGCTAGTTGTCGCCTTCCCTCCTTGCTCTTGCACTTAGACACCACACTGACCAAAGCGCAGTTAGTGAGGTCTGAGTCCTTCTTGAGCCCCCCCCACACACACACACAAAAAAAGGATAGGCAAGGCACCGGGCTTGGCACCTCTCAGCTGAGGCTCAGCAGGCAAGGGAGACTCCGAGCGCAATCGCAGGGTTGCTTCCCCCAAGCCGCTGTGGGGACCTCGCGAAGACTGGGGCCAAAGCGCAAACTGGAGGAGGCTGGGAGGTCCTGTGAGCTTTCTCTCCCCTCCGAAGGAACATAGGTGAGGAGGAGCGCGAACGCTAGTATAAAAGCTGGCTGTGTATTGGGGGAGCGCAGAACACACCTCAAGGAGAGGATTGAAATCGTAAAAAGTAAAATAATAACTTTCTCTAAAATAATTGCTATTGATGAAAGAGGCGTCTACCTGACTGAATTAAATCGTCCAAAACTGTTTGTTTATCATCAGGAGCTCCCTCTTACAAGAAGGGAAAAGAAAATGTGAAAAAAAAAAAAAAAAAAAAAAAGCAAATTCGATAAACCTCCTTGAAAGGCCCCCCGCAGTGTCTTGGAGACCCCTGCTCTGCTAGGGAGAGCTCCGCCCTCCCAGCCCCTAGCTCAGAGAGGAGGCCAAAACAGCCAGAAAGAGAGGAAAGGAAAAAAAAAAAAAGAAGAAGAACGTTTAAAATCCAAGGGGCAAAAATCCGGAGTCGGTCTCAGGATCTGTGCGGCGCACGGTCCCGCTCGGCGGTCCACTCGGCCTGGGCCTGAGACTTGCAGGAGCAGCGCGACAGGCACCCTGGGCCCAGCGCGGAAAGCGCAGCCCACAGCTCCCCCTCACCAGGCGCCCAAGGACCCTCAAAGCGCGGGGATCACTCTTGAAGCCTGTGAACGCGCAGACAGGAAACCCACTTCCTCCTAAGCAGTTTCTTGCTTGCTGGTTGAGAGGCGCCCAATTGAAGCAGAATGATCCTCATCTACTAATATCCAGCGTGGTCACAAAGCAACTGGCCATTTAGGCTGCCACTTTAAACAAAGATATTTGGTTATTCCCGGGAAAGCAAGTGCACTTTTGCATGGCTGAGCTCTGGGCAGAGGCGAGCCCCCGACTCCAGCCGCTGCTCTGCTGCGGTAACTTCAGGATTCGCCCCTCCCGGCCGGCGGGCCCTTCCAGGGTTCGGGCTCAGTCGGTGCAGCAACAGGCATGTGGGGTCTCACCGTTCCTGAAGCTCCAGAGGGCACAACAGCGTGGCCCCGGAGCTTGGGTGCTTGGGCTGTGAAGTCCTCGAAAAGTCAGCTCCAGACCTATAATCCTGCGTGTGCTGGCGATGGGCAAGGGTCGGGGACACGAGGTTTGTTTTAGGTGGGGCAATTTCACTGATGGCCCTTGCCGTTAGTCCCCCCCACCCCAATTCTATCAACCCAGGAGACCAGTGGTGCGCTCTTCTGGGTCGAGTGTAGGGTGGGGAGAAGGAGCCGCCAAGTGTGTGTGTGTGTGTGTGGAGGGGGGTGATGAGAGGGACCTGGCCCTCTGAGAAGCCCTTCAGCTGTGTGTGTGTGGGGGGGGCGGAGAACCGGGACAGCCTCTCGGCGACAGCAGATCCCCTGCTCAGCGCCCCCTCCGCCCGCGCAGATTCTCTCGGGTAAGGGGAAAGGGGGCGGGGAGCACAGGGTGTCCCTCTGACGGCGGCAGAAGAGGCAGACAGACTGACAGACCCGCAGACCAACGGTGCGGCCCCAGGGTTCGTCCCCTGACACTCGCTCATTTGGTGGCGGCTGGGGCTCAGTGCCGCGAAGCCCGATGTGGTCCGGAGTCAGTGGGAAGGCGCGGGGCTGGGAGGCCGCGGCGGGAGGGAGGAGCAGCCCCGGCAGGCTCAGGTGAAACCCCCACTCCGACCCTCGGCCCCCTCCCTCTTCAAGACCTGCCCCCGCCCCGGGGAACCCCGACTGAATTGGAAAGTGGTTCCACTTTGTAACTCTGCAAGTTGGTTGCAAAGCAGCATTCACCTTCCTTCTTCCCCCTCATCCCTCCTACTCGGCTACTCCCCTCCCCACCTCCTGCCCTCCCAGCTCTCGGCTCCCTCCTCCTTCCCCTCTCCGCCTCCCCCCCACCCCCCGCGCGCGCCGCCAGCACCCCACAAAAATTGGGGGTGGGGGTACCCAGATGGGGTGTGTGTGTGAAGAAATGCTTTGGGTCGTGTCTCTGCCTCTCTTTCTATCTCTCTCTGAGACCTAAAAATCCTGACAAGTGAAACTTAAAGGTGTTTACCTTGTCATCAGCATGTAAGCTAATTATCTCGGGCAAGATGTAGGCTTCTATTGTCTTGTTGCTTTAGCGCTTACGCCCCGCCTCTGGTGGCTGCCTAAAACCTGGCGCCGGGCTAAAACAAACGCGAGGCAGCCCCCGAGCCTCCACTCAAGCCAATTAAGGCGGACTCGGTCCACTCCGTTACGTGTACATCCAACAAGATCGGCGTTAAGGTAACACCAGAATATTTGGCAAAGGGAGAGAAAAAAAAGCAGCGAGGCTTCGCCTTCCCCCTCTCCCTCTTTTTTCCTCCTCTTCCTTCCTCCTCCAGCCGCCGCCGAATCATGTCGATGAGTCCAAAGCACACGACTCCGTTCTCAGTGTCTGACATCTTGAGTCCCCTGGAGGAAAGCTACAAGAAAGTGGGCATGGAGGGCGGCGGCCTCGGGGCTCCGCTGGCGGCGTACAGGCAGGGCCAGGCGGCGCCGCCAGCCGCGGCCATGCAGCAGCACGCCGTGGGGCACCACGGCGCCGTCACCGCCGCCTACCACATGACGGCGGCGGGGGTGCCCCAGCTCTCGCACTCCGCTGTGGGGGGCTACTGCAACGGCAACCTGGGCAACATGAGCGAGCTGCCGCCGTACCAGGACACCATGCGGAACAGCGCCTCGGGCCCCGGATGGTACGGCGCCAACCCAGACCCGAGATTCCCGGCCAGTAAGTGAGGCCGCTCCACTGCGGGGCCGCGGGCTGAGCGCGGGGGGCGTGGGGAGAGCCGCTCGGAAGGCACGCGCCGGCTGGCTGGGCGCTGGGTATCAGGGTGGGCTGCCAGGCAGCTGCGCCAGGGAGTCGGTCGCGGGAACAGAGGGTTCTTCCCCTGGCTGGGCTGAGGGTCTAGGCAGAGGAACTTGGGAGGGCGGGAAGGTGCTTACATTCGACATCTCCTAGGCGCTACCGAGAGCAGCTCCGCTTGGCTCCGGAGACCTCGGGTAGCCCAGGGAGACACTCCCTGAGCCAAAGAGCAGGAGCGAACCGGGCGCTAAGAGGCGCGGCCTGGCGGGGTGGGAGGTTGCCCTGCTGACGAGCTCGGGCGCCTGGGGAGCCTGCTCTCCACTAAAGTCTGGGCCAGTGGGAGGGTGCGCGACTCTGGAGGGGGCTCTAAACAGGCCGAGCAGGTGCCCACAGTGGGGGCGACGGGAAAGAGCGGACAAGAGGCAAAGCGTCTGAGGGCTTACTTTCCAAAGTGAACACCTCCCCTCTTTGAGAGCTGCCAAAATCTACCGTCGGTCCTCCGCTCGCGACCTGGGCTCAGTTAGCCGCTTCTTGCCAACTAACCTCGTGACTCCAGCGGGAGCTGGACACGAAGGAAGTAGGAGCGGCCTTTCCCTACTGCGCTCTTTGGGTCCAGCACTGAGACCAAGGGAGGATAATACGGGCCAGGTTTGAGGAGGGGAACTCTTCAGTAAGTCCCTGGACAACATGGTCTCGGGCGGGCGCTGGCGATGCCCCGGGAGGAGACCTTTCAGGGCTGCGCTCGAGGCGGCCTGGGTGTGGAGGGCGCCGTCGGGGCGGGCCGGGCTGGCCAAGGGCGCGGAAGGCAGGGGTGGGCCGGCCCGGCCTGGCCCCGGCCGACGCTGTGCGTTTGTCGCTTACAGTCTCCCGCTTCATGGGCCCAGCGAGCGGCATGAACATGAGCGGCATGGGCGGCCTGGGCTCGCTGGGGGACGTGAGCAAGAACATGGCCCCGTTGCCGAGCGCGCCGCGCCGGAAGCGCCGGGTGCTCTTCTCCCAGGCGCAGGTGTATGAGCTGGAGCGACGCTTCAAGCAACAGAAGTACCTGTCGGCACCCGAGCGCGAGCACCTGGCCAGCATGATCCACCTGACACCCACACAAGTCAAGATCTGGTTCCAGAACCACCGCTACAAGATGAAGCGCCAGGCCAAGGACAAGGCAGCCCAGCAGCAACTACAGCAGGACAGCGGGGGCGGCGGGGGCGGCGGGGGCACCGGGTGTCCGCAGCAGCAACAAGCGCAGCAGCAGTCGCCGCGCCGCGTGGCGGTGCCGGTCCTGGTGAAAGACGGCAAACCTTGCCAGGCGGGCGCTCCGGCGCCAGGTGCAGCGGGTCTGCAGGGCCACGCGCAGCAGCAGGCGCAACAGCAGGCGCAGGCCGCGCAGGCGGCGGCGGCGGCTATCTCGGTGGGCAGCGGCGGCCCAGGCCTGGGCGCACACCCGGGCCACCAGCCAGGCAGCGCCGGCCAGTCTCCGGATCTGGCGCATCACGCCTCCAGCCCCGCGGCTCTGCAGGGCCAGGTATCCAGCTTGTCCCACCTGAACTCCTCGGGCTCGGACTACGGCACCATGTCCTGCTCCACCTTGCTATATGGTCGGACCTGGTGAGAGGACGCAGGGCCAGCCTTAGCCCAGTGTGTTGCCTCATCGCTCCCGCCCGCCTCACGGACCACCGTCCTCCCGCTGCTCCTCGCTCTTCGACTTTTCATAAGAACTTGTCCCATTTAGACCAAGGAAAAATACACAAAAGCCAAACTGCTGGACGTCTTTCCCCCCCCCCTCTTTCTTTCTAAATTTTGTTTGTTTAAAAAAAAAGGGGGAAGGAAGAAAATAAAAGCAACTACGAAGCGAATCCAATTCTTTAAGGAGTCTTTAAACAGAAAGACACACAACAGCTTTGAGGGTGTCTGTTAGGTGATTCAGATGGGTTTTCCCACGCTTGGGCGGGGCACAGTTTGGAGAGGACTCTACGCTGACATGGCTCTGGACCCTTCACTCTGGGTACACTCTGCCAGCAAAGTGGACTCGCTTGTAAATACGAGGATTTCTTTCGCAGGGCAGCCCAGGCTGGGGAGAGGAAAGACTCTTCGGCGAACCCACTTGTCACTGACACAAAGGAAGCGCCCCTCCCCGGCGTCCACTGGCCCGCCCAGGCTCGGCTGGGAAACCGTGGCCCCGTGGAGAATTGTTTTATGTTTGATGTGAACTTGTAGCTGTAAAAGGCTGTCAAAAGTTGGACTAAAAGCCTAGTTTCTAGTAATCTGTATATTTTGTTGTAAAAAGAAACCCAGTCCCCAGCCCCAGCCCCTCACATTTTTTTTATGGGCATTGACAAATCTGTGTATATTATTTGGCAGTTTGGTATTTGCAGTGTCAGTCTTTTTCTGTTGTAACTTATGTAGATATTTGGCTTAAATATAGTTCTTAAGAAGCTTCTAATAAATTATACAAATTAAAAACATTCTTTTTTTTTATTTAAAACCCTCCTTTTGGTTTGGTTTTGATTTGGTTTTAAATTGCTCTTCTTTGGTTAGGGCCTCATCACTGGCTTGATGGGATCAAATTGTTTTGGGGCTCAAAGGACCGGGAAGCAACTCAAAAGGCCAGCCCCAGTCCCTGCCCTATGGGAAGACGGAGTTTTGTTTAGCCTTGTATTTGAGTGGAACCAAACCTTGACCAGTCCTAGAACTCGGCAATAGAGAGGAGAAAAGCTAAATTACTTCCACCAAGAAGGAGAAGGACTCAGAGAGGGAAAAAGCAAAGGACTCTTTTTTAGAGATAAGCTTCTGTTTTTAGAAGCCCCGGAAGTACCTACAGTAGGATCTTATACAGTTGAGCCAATGATTTAAAATAGTCGGCCAGGACAGCCCATTTTTAAATACCCTTAAGGAGCTCTCATTGCTACTGAATGGATCGTCTCTGTAGATTTTAACATTTTTATTTCTAATAAAACCTTTGTTTCTGATTTATGGCAGTTAGGTGGGAGGTTTTTTTGGTTTTTGGTGTCCCCCCCCCCTTCTTTTTGAAAGTGGGTGGGGAGGTCATTATGGGGTTTGGGGACTGCTCTAAAACACTTTTCCCCTCTGAGTGACCTGCCTCAGACATCCAGCTTCTTCTGGCCTCTCTTGTCTGGCCAGTGTGGAACTGGGTCACCAACTTGGTGATGCCCTGGACAGGACTTTGGGAACTCAGTTCGTTCTTTGTCCCACCAGTTTCTATTTCTGGGCTCCAGAATTTTTCTAGTAAGTATCTTTCTCCTGTCTCCAGAAAATAATAACCTTTGTCCTTTTTCTCTGACCTCTAATTTTCTGGTTTTCTTGGAGCCCAGACATAAGTGGAGGGGAGAGTTGGGGGAACTCTTGGAGTTGCAGGACAGGAGGAAGAGGAGGATTGATGGTGGACTGAATGATAAATAGTGATGCTTGGATAGGCTGCTGGACTCCTGATAAATCTCCACAGACAAGGCTCTGGCGGACTGTGGGAGCTCCTGTTCACTCCCCAACACTTTTTTTCTAAGCCTGAAAGTGCTTGATCGTAGAGGATACATTAATATTTGGCATGTACTCACTTTTCACCTAGGATTTCAACTTTCCTTTTCCTCCCTTGCCTCTCTCTTTCGTTCCATCCGTTTTTCACTACATTCTCCATTTCTCTCTTTCTCTCTTTTCCTTCACCCTCTCTCCCTCAGCTTGTAAGACAAGTTAATGGCTGGTGTCCTTGCCCCGACCCAGTAGCTCTTTTATTGATTTTGGTGCCTTAGGACTGGAGGCTAGGATGGGCTTTCTTCCCCAGAAACCCGGCTTTGGCTGCTGAGACATGGCTGTTAATATCCACAGAGCGAGAGAGCGCGCTGAGGTTCTGAGAGGACGGTTGGTTGGGTTGAGTATCTGCTGGTTGGGGGCAATTTCAGCAGGCCTTACATTTTAGAAAGCAAGCAAAAACACTTCTGTTGGAATAGGCAATCTCTTCAGGGAGTGCAGATAGTTAAAGCAACCAGTTCAGGCCAGAACTGGATAGGGGAGGCAGGTACTGCAGCTGCTGTTTGGTTCTGAGGTCCTGATTCGGTAGGTGTGAGAGCATCTGTCCAACATGCCCCCTACCTGGCAGAAGCCTGTGCAGGAACAGGGCAGGTGATGTAGCCACTGCAGTTGTCGCTCCCCATACCCCCCTCGTCCTAGGCCCTTGGGAGTCACAATTGTAGTGGGCTTTGCTGCCCTCATCCTTATCACCCCTGCACTGGGTGGAGTTTCTGACAAATACATTCTTTTCCCCGCCGTCAGGAGTCGGCTTAGTTTGATGTCTATTTATTTACTAGTCCCGGGGAAAGGTGAATTCAACTGTGTCTGCGGATGGGACTGAAACAAATAGGACCTCGGCCGCTTCTTGCCGTCAATCACGCGGGGCCCACCAGGTCCCGCTCCTGGCCAGGGGAGCTTCTCGCAGCCGCAGGAAGCGACCTGTAATGCTAGCTGAAGCTTCTGGATGGGGACATAGATGCGCGCTGGCCGTAGCCCAAGAGGGCTCCACAGCCTGGGGACCTCCCCCGACATCCCGGCTAGCCTTTAGAAAGCTGAAGGTCGTCCTTTTCCGGAATCTTCCTCCCCTAGGTCTCCACTGTTCGAATCCAGGTCGATTCTGACTTGCCCCGGGAGAAATCAGCCTTCTGGCGATGCCCTTGCTGTTGTGCCTGGAAGAGAGCTGGACGATTCCCTAAGTGTGGGGGCAACGCAGCTAGCCCCCAGACCCCCACGAAGCAGAAGGCCCCGGCCTAAGCCCCCTTACCCCATCCCTAGGCCCCAACCGCTATGGAGAGTCGGGGAGATTTTGTAGACAGCGTTCCCCTTCCTTCTCTCCCCCACCCCCACCGCGCCGTGTAAACACGAGGACTTTCTCGAGAGTCCTGGAGAGCAGCTCTAGTGGCTTCGAGGCCTGAAACCCTAGGCTTGGCTTGTTTGATGTTTAGCATCCCAAAGCGGCTCCCCACCCCCGCCCCAGCCTGGGAACTGGAGCTCTAGGCCGGAGAGGTAGGGAAGCAGCCTTCTCATCTGGCCGGGCCCCGGCTTGGGCCGGACTCAGGGGAGGGGAGAAGAGCAGAACAGAGGTGCTCTGGGCCGGAGGGAAGGGAACCTGAGCTGTCGCCGCCTGGAACAGCAGCACAAAAGGGGACAGGCTGGAGGCCAGGAGGCGGGTGAGGGCAGAGAGTGCCCCAGCACCTGGCACAGCAGCTCCGGGGTAGAGGCTGGCCGGGTGGGAAGCAATCCCGGGCCCACAGGTGAAAGCCAAGCCCAGCCAGGCGACTTCGCCAGAAGCGCTCCAGGTCCATGCTGCTGCAAGCAGGGAAGCCCCGCGCGCCCGCGCTCCAGCCCTGGGGCCTCGCAGGAGGCAGCTCTCCTTCCCACTGCGTAGAGCTTGAACTTTTAAAGCGAAAGACTTGTTCCGGAGCCTCTAAGGGATTTCACATCCCCCTGGGGCAGGACTAGGGAGCTCCAGTGATTGTGCTTAGATTTGACAACGGGTCTTCTATTCTGAGGCCCCAGAGAAGAATTCTCAGACTTCAGAGGCCTCCAATCCTTGGAGAGTGCTCACCCGTGTATCGCCGGTGAGAGGCTATCTGGGGACGCGAGCGCACAAAAGGTAGCACGAGTCTCTTCTTTGGCGATGTCCGGAAATGACAGCAGGTTTTTCTGACTTCCACCTTATTAGGGACCAGGTAAGGTCAATGCTTTCTCTATTATGTCTTTATCTTAAAAGCGGGTCAATTTCAGTAAGGGAAGGGGAAAAAAATCCAGCATCAGTGTGAACCGTGCTTATAAAGACTGACCTCTTTCCTGAAATAAAAGCAAGCCAGGCAGACATTCATTTTCTATAAACAAGACAGTCGTGGGAAGCTGTCTTGAATTCTGATCGGATGTCCCCGGTGTCTTTAGACATGGCGCCCTCACTCCCTCTAAGGAGCAGAAAGAAGGCGCGATTTTATTGACGGAGAACTAGAAAGTCTGGGCAATCTACTTCCGCAGTGATACTGCCTCGGAAACCCAAGGAGGGGTCGCTATGAGTCGGGTCGACTCGATGGCAAATAACAACAAGAAAGTCCGTTGGGGAATGTGAATCTGGGGTGATACGACTCTTAGGCATGGTCTGCTTGTTTTAAACACTGCTTTCTTTTAGAATGAAATGAAATTGATGTCTGGCGGGATGGGGCTGAGTGCTTTCCCTACTCAACCTGTTAAGAGACGCTGGACGTGGCTTTCCTCTGATTCTTCCTCCCTTCTTGGCTGTTGTCTTCATGGCTGTGCACTTTTGTGCTCCTCCAGCTCTAGGTCACCTTCTTTGAGGCTCCTGCCTCAACTTGGAGCACAGAAAGTTTTCTGGCACCTTTTCACTAGTGACTTCTGGTAGAAATGTTCTGTCCACAGTCATTCACTCCAGCAAACTTGTCCACCCAAGCCGGTGGCGGAATTGAGTATGGATGGGAATAGGTGGGGATAGGTGCTTTGCTGAAGGGAAATTAGACCTCCCCCAACCCCACTTAGTTGCTTTTTTGAAGTATCCTGGAAGATTCTCAAAGGAATGGAGGAGGTGTTGGCTCAGCCACTTGGCAGCACAGCTTCTGTCTTATCTGAAGGCATGGTTGCAGTGGTCAGCAGCATTGCTCTCTGATGGGGACGTAAAACCTGACTTTGGAGGGTATCTAGGCACAGTCCCATGCTTCCGTCCCTCCCTTCGTTTGAAAACTTTTTCCATTTGTTCTCTGCTTCCTACACATTACCTCTGTTATTAAGAGCTCCAGTAAAGTTTTGGAAAGGATGAAATTAAATCCACTTTTTATTTTTAGTTATTTGCAGGACACGGCAATCTAAATTGATCATCCCTAGTGCTCTTCTTAAAGTGAAAATAAAACACAAACATAAATATTCCAGACAATTGGGCTTGCTGAAGAGGACTCTTTCCTCTGACATAATATTCACATAGGATTCTGTTCACTCTGTATGTAGGTATTAAGTAGTTGTATACAGGTGCTTATATGTATGAAGGTGTGTATATAAGTACAGTCACATGTATCTATCTTATATATTGACTTTAATTCTATATTAAAGCAGAAAAGTTTTAATATGGAATTCTATTACTAGGGGATATTATAGAACCTGTTAGATGTAAGAAGGTTGAATGCATTCATTATCACAATTATGATATTACAATTAAACTGAATTCTTCCTTAAAAATTAAATAAAATTTTCTTTAGTTTTGCTCACTTTAAATTGGAATTTGTTTTGATATGTGGAACTCGGAAGAACTAATTATATTTTGGGAAATATTAAAATTTTATCCTTAAAGCAATTGAACGTGGTGTCTGAAACACAGCTGTGGATGTAACTTCTTGAGGCAATCTATAGCAAAAATTGATCTCATTTACCTCACCTACATTATCTACTAATAGAAATAATTAGTATGGACCCTATTGGCCAACT